TGCCAAAAGTTCCCAAAGTCCCATAGTGGGTTGGCAGTTAGGACGGTGTGCAGAAAACTGTGTGCTTTGGGCTCGGAGTGGGTTCTGTTACTACAGCAGGAACATTCTCGGCCCCTGAGAGAGGCTCTATGCTCCCCCTGCCTCCCTGGCAACTGTCTTCTTTGAGCTTAATGGCTACTTCTACTAAGACAGCGAGTGAGGCCAAGGGCCGTTTTGTCAAAAGATGTCTGTTTGTATCCCAGAACACCAAACTACAGATTAACGTGGCCATCTTCCAAGCTTGTTGAAAAACATCAAAGGAAGAGAGAGACTTGAATTTAATATTGTCCCCAAGGGGACCAAAAAAAAAATCCAAGTTGATTATTCTGTATTGTGGGCCACTCTGACTTAAAATATAAGCAAGTCATACTTCACAGTAGTAAGCCTCTTATGAAAAAAGAAATTCAAGCAGAGATCATAATATCATGGATTCTTAGGGCCCCAAGAGGGTTTTAATTGCTTAATCCAACCCCTTCACTTTAGGTATGGGACAGAATGAGGCTTGGGCATCAAGTGACTTGTCTAAGTTACACAGCTCAACATTGGCAGAGTCTAAGTCAAACGTTTGTTGTATCCAACGGCATTATTTTTCATCCTCCCTGTGTCATCATGTGAATTCACTGTGTTCTGCTATGAAATGAGATAGTACTCAAAGAAGATTCCTTGTCATCTTTTCTAGAACCAACCCTTGCCCTAATGCATGCGGTGTTTTACTAAATGATCTCTCAAGCAGCAACAATGAGAGGTGGAATGAGAAAGGAGGAGGAAGAGCAGGAACATGGGTTTTCCTTTTGGGAAAACCACAGGCAGCTATAGCATGAGCAGCTTTGGACTCGCTTCACCTAAAGAGAACAATCTGCCTATGGTGTCTGCCCGGGTTTGCACTCGATGGCCCTTATTCTAGATTTCAGCCAGAAAGTACCAGAGATCCTGAGGCCACTCATTTCTGGCAACTAGATTGACAAAACTCTCATTTCAGAATTCCTTCAGCTTCTTTGCTTAAACTTACTCTTTTTAGGTTCTCAGAGGGGATATAAAGTTAAGTGAAATAAGCCGGTCAGAGACAAATACCATATGACTTCACTCGTATGGGGAATTTAAAAAACAAAACAAAGGAGCAAAGATAAAAAGACAAAATGAAAAAATAGAGCAAACTACCGGTTGCCAGAGGCGAGGTGGGTGGGGGGATGGGTGAAGTAGGTGAAGGGGATGAAGAAGACACTTAGCGTGACCCTAATATTCCAAGTGGGTATTATGACAACTGAAAAAAAATCTGCTTGGTCCTTTTGCTTGCCTTGGGATGAATTTATTTGGAGACTAAGAAAGGCAAAAACAGCAACCTAGACAACTGTATGGCTGTCTAGAATCAAAAAGCAGGGAAGAAGAGCCACCTCCATTGGGTATAACTGCTGAGTACTTTTGGCCATCAAGCCAAGCAAGAGGTACGAAGACCTTCCCAACAAGGGTCTGAACCATAGAAAAATTCTCTCTGAGCATTTGTGTACCTGTTCGGACTTACTGCTGTATTTCATGGGAAACTATAGCACAGATAGATTCCTTGATTCTGACAAAAGTAAAATATTATCATAGTGTTTGCTTTTGGGAACAAAAGGAAGTGTGGTATTTGCAAAAGCATGGCAGGATTGGATTTCCTTTCAGGGAGCAGGTAGATGAGTTACTTAACCCTGAAAGTTTTTCTTGACTAGATACACTTGCAAGTGACATACTTCCCCATGCAAGGTTGGAAATTGCCTGAGGCCCTCTACTCAGTCATTCAGATTCCTGAGATTTCCTACCTGGAATACATATCCCCATAAATTGAATTTCCCCTAAGCCTTTTTCAGTTTCCACAAGTCTAAATCCAAGATTGAGGCATTTGGCACTCTTTCTTTCCGCCAACCAATATTGCAGAGGAGAAGCGAATACTTGTCTTTTACAGGACAAGGTAACTTCTTCAGGCAATAAGACTACAGGCTGTGTTTCCATACCCAGTAGGAAATAAAGAACTGAATCTGATGTCTATGTGGTTCAGATCTTATTACCTGAAGACCTGGACCTCTGTGATCTAGAAGACTGCCTTGATTTCTTTGATGCTCCGCATGGGAGGCATATTCTCAAAGACCTAAGGTAAAGCCTTAGCTTGAGAGAGAAGCCATTCTTCCTGCTGATTGGATTTGGCTCATTGAACTGTAGTTGGTAATCAAATGGTGATTCTACTTGGGTTTCTGTGGGCAAAAATTATAAAGGGGAGGATGAAAGTCTGTTTAATTGATTTTTCTCTCAAAATGATTTGGATTCCTAAAAAGAGTGAATGAGTTTATAACAAAATGGTGTTGCCAAAGCCCTGACTTATAGACCTTATGGGATGCAGCGTGTGGATCTGGCCTCCTGTGTCCGTATATAACTTATGCATCATCAAATATTAACGGACTGTTACAAGCATTTACAACTGTGGTGAACCTATTAATATAAATCTGTGCACATAACGGAAAGATTATGGGTATCTTATTTAGAAAAGGGTTCTTAGAGGTATACTCTGGATCTGTTTGTCCTGTTTATGGCACTCATGCTGGCCAAGGGAAGCCCTAGTGGGCATGGCATAAGAAGAATGAACGAGACCTAAAAAAATAGAGATCACAGTCATACGTCAGCTCTACATACATCCTGGATTTTCGGGTTAGTCCTGACTTTAACAGATTATTCATTTGTAATATGATGTGAATTTCCAGATGAAAGTGAGTTCCTAAGTACGTTCTCATGAAATGTATTACAGGTAGTCTAAAACCAGAAAAACATGTTTTGTTAAGCTGTACACCTTGCTTCTTCTGAACACATTGTCCCCTTATATATTTTATAGGATAACTAGGAAGACAAAGCAAAGCAGGAAGACACTGAAGCAGAGTCTTGGGGAGACAATCCCAAGACCACTCTTTTGAGAAACACGTCAGCATTTACAAGTGCTAAGCTGGCCTTAAACAGCAAAACCCACAAACTCCTTGGTGCCTCGTATAGATCCTTCTCTTCTCCATCACAAAGCTCTTGGGAGCACCAATTAAAGACAATCCATAACAGTTTCACAGCTAAATCCAAGACCTGTCCCCTTGACCCACAGTATCGGCTCTAAAGGGTGTATTTATTGTCCACTACTGCATTTCACACGTCCCTGGTGACCCAGTTAACTGTTCACCTAATGAAAATGAAGAAGACCAATGACACTAAAAAGAAAAAAAGGCAAAAAGCTGCTTAATACTGCTCAATGGTGGTCCTTATCCAAAAATAACAAGGGTCTGAGAGACAAAAGCAATCGGAATCTTATGTCTCTCCTATGTTCCGAAGGTGTCTGGTTTGGAAGAGAAAAGTCACCAGGAATGGGCAATAAAGGGTCCATGATGTCTATGTACAACCTCTTCTCAGGGCATTTGGACAGTACAACTTTTGGTGTGTACCCAGCACCCATCTGCCAGTCTTTGATGACCACCTGACTCCTACTTATAGACCAAGTTTCTACACGCTCCTCGAAGTCAGTCAAATGTACTTTATTTCTCAGTGATTCAGGTTCAAGTTCCCAGCAACCTCCCAGAGCCTGCAACCTTAGGAAAATACTGTGAGTTATTCAACAGAAAAGGATAGTAGAGAAACTGACAAGTTTAGTCTACACAATCCACCACTGGGATTCGTTGGGTTCCTACGGCCTACAAGGCACGGTGCTAATCCCCTTACAGTACTGACTCCTCAAACTGTAACAGCCTTGAAGATGCCATCTTGAAGTTGTGAGGAGCCATCGTCTGCTCCCATTTCATGGCTCAAGGCCATCTTGACTTTGCCATAGGAATATCACCTTTATGGGATTTTGCACATTTGTTTCCTATTCCTTGCTACACAGAAGACTGGGAAGCAGATTGACTCTGCTTTCAACTGTGCCCTGTAACTAGATTCAAGTGCTTTGAGAGAATACAAGAGAAAGCTCTCTATGTGCTAGATCATAGACAGTGTTTTGTTTTTATCGAGAGATGGTCTTAAAGGCGGCACAGCCAGCGTAACTGTCCTCTCTACCGGTGAGGAGAGTGGAATGGTTAGGCCTTCTAGGTTAATGAGATTGTGACTGAAATAATTTGCGATTAAAAATGTCTTTTTTTTTTTTTTTTTTTGGTTAGATATACAAAAAAGAATTTTACGGCTGGAACAAAGAAAGTAAAGCATCAATCAAATCATCTCACTCGATTTTACTCTGCCAGGTGAATGCCAACCGAATTGGAACATTTGACTCTGGTTAAAGTTGACGTTGGCTGTGCTCTCTCACGTTTGTCCACATGCACAGCAGCGCTACGCAGATTACATCCTAATTCATTATCATCATTGAAAGCAAATTATGAGACCTCCTTTGAAATTTCAGTAATGATTTCCCAGGACTGGATATGGCAGAGCAGAAACTCAGTGGGTTCCGTAATCGACCACCTTGAAGAGCACGGTTCCCACTACCATTCTCTTTGAAATATTTAATTGAAAGAGTATACAGAAGGTAGATTCTCAGAGTTCCCGAAGACAGGGGTTTGCTTTTAATTAACACATGGGCCACCCCTAAGACATTTCAAGAGAATTACGTCTAGAGGCTTCTAACAGAATGTCTTGCGTGTACTAAAGCAGAAGCAGGGACGACACCTGAAGGAATCACACACTGAGTGTCTGCTCTTTATCCCAAGTCCCCGGGATTCACCACATGCTTTAGTCGGGAAAAGAGGATCTGCAGCTCTACATTTAGAGAATAAAGGGAAGCTGGCCAGAACTCGTCTTCAATTCAAAGGGATTCCTCCAGCAGCCTCCGTTCAGACAATAAGACAGGTGAGAAAATGAGGCATTTACAAAGCATCACTTGGCAAAGACACCGCACTGCGCCTATCACTGACTCACGACAGATCCTTGAAGCCTCGGCTAGCAGATTAAGTAAACACAGAAATAGATGCTTTTTTTTTTTTTCCTTTTTAAGACAGCTTGTTTATATTCTCTTTTTACCATAAGATACGCTGGGGAGTTTGTTCAAAACTTTGCTGAGAGTCATGTCCTTATTTTTCACGTTTCCACGGCTCTTCCTCGACTCCGCCGTCAGCGGACTTTCCGTTGGCTGCCAGAGTCACCTGAAAATAATTATCATCAGCATCCAGCTAACAGGCCGTGAACCAGAAAACCTCCCCCACAGGTTATACGGAGGAGCACCAGATCCAAGCTTCACTCTACGACCTCCCTACTACTTTTAAATGTCATTCCCAGCAGGTTGGGAGCCCATCTTGCTTTTCAACATTAATTTGTAAATACTGAAAAGTCCACATTGGCCTTGGGGAGTATGGAGGAGCTAGAGACAGTCTGCAGTTTGGAGAATAACTTCCACTCTGATTTTAGTGTTGGGGGCACGTCAAGCTGCACACAGACCCATCATCTAAGAATGCAGCCCTTAACAAAACAGTGTCCTTGTGCTACTCCATACAACCAGAGAAAACCCCCCGGAACTCGACAGCTAGTTCTACACATGCGTGTGAAAGGTTCAGTCCCAAGGAGGCCAGGTTGGTTTATACATGCCCAATTGCAAAATCAGAGATCGAGAGGGTCTGGATACCAGATACGCTATCCAGGCTTTAAACGTGAAAAAAGAAAAGAAGGGATTAAAAGCCAGAGATCCGTGACAAGCGGACCTAAATGATTTCAACGTGGACATTTCATAATCAGGTATCCCCACCAGCCTGTCTGTATCAGGGCTTTCCTGGCTCTAAGTGAACTGAACCCTTACACCGAACGGGAGGTGTTCCCCTCCGCTTCTAAGTCGTTTCCTAGCTTACCTTCTGTCTGTCTGTCCTCAACGTCATGTGCAAACTTAAACCCACGACTGATATTCCACATAATGGAGAGACTGGATTTATGGAAGCATTAGGATATGGAAATATGACAAATGCAGCAATGTTTGAAAGAAATCCGAGCTTCTTCTTACCCGAGTGGAAGTGAAACGCATGCGTTAGGAACACACACAACATGCCAGGGACAGAAAACAAAACCAAGCGTGTGAAGATAAAAGCTATTTGTTGCGTTCCTCCTCCGAACCCCGGAAGGCCCCCCCTGTTCCTCTAGAAAGACCATGCAACAAGCCATGACCATCCTACATGCAGTGATTCTGATAAAAATGTAAAAGTTCACGCACAACTTCAAACTACAGTGACAAAGGCAAGAGTCTGAAAACAGAAGAGGCCAACAGGGCGTGACGATGCTTGAAGCGGTTAACATTTTGACCAGAGCTGCAGCAAATTTGTTTCCCCTTTGGTGAACTGTCAAGAAAGACTGCCAGGAACAAACTATCTGCCTGGAGAAAGCTGTCTGTTCACTCTGACCTTGAACGTGCCTAGTTGCCTTTGAGTGGTGAACAAGGGCAAGAATCATAGGTCAAGTTCAGGTGCCTCTGGAATACCAGGCAGCACTCGGGGATGGGCCCGGTTGCTGTCATCATGGTTGAATACTGGGGCCTGTGTTTCCAAAGTGGCTGGGAGAGCAGCTTTTTGTTTTTTAACATTTCTTTCTTTTTCTGGCTGGGTTCAAAGAAGCTAAGGCTCCACTCACCAGCCCATCCCATCTCTGTCTCCTCCAACCACCTGGGTAACAGAAAAGCAAGAAGGAGTGGGGGACTGGCAGGAAGCATTGATGTCTCCCATCTTGTTATTTAAAAATAGTAAGATGGAGAAACGATCACAAGGAGTTTTAAGCCCTTACTACAAAATTATATATTTGCTTTGCTGTCCTCCCATGCCCATTTCATGACATGGCAGATAATGGGCCCCCAATAAACATTTGATGAATGATGAAAATAGAGGAGGTCATAGGAACGAGATGGAGGTGCTCAGTGAAACCCCACAATGCACACAATAAATACTTAAATAGAGCATAAAGCCATTCCACGGGAATGTGGACCCTTGTTGGCCCAAACTAACATTTTGATGGGGAATAACCCAGCATGTTCATTTAGATGTGGGAAACACTAATGTTCCAGGAGAATGGAATATGTGCTTTAGGTACATCTGAATTTCTAATAATTTGAATCATTTTCATTGAGTCAATTAATTTTTGCAGTTGTCTCTTAATGGGCGAGTTCTTCCTTAATTTGTACTAGAGCCTCGGCTCATCCACTCATGTACCTGATATAGAGGAGAGGAACAAAAGACTGTTGCTGGTCCATTAGATTTCTGGATCTATGTTACAGTCCAATTAAGAGAATCACTCCTATGCTACCCTTAATTGTCCAGCAGAAGCCATGGTTTATATTTGGAATGACCCAGAAGGAACCCAGGAAGAAATTAAGTATTAAATGAGATCTTGTCAACAGGAGTCAAAAAGGATCAGAAATCTGTATCGGGTACAGATCGCCCTCAGTTGCTTCCCGGAACCATATTAGTAACCCAGCCCCCAGAGTTGACTCTGCTCACCTGCCAGGGTTTCTCCAAGTTTGCTTCACTCTGGTCATGACACTCTGTCTTTGACAATGTCAAGTTAGTTACAATGAAGGCTAGACAGAGCCCATCAAGCTTGAAGACTTAGTACCCAGCAGCTTGTGAAAGAGGCCAGAACATCCATGATTCAGGAAAGATAGGGCTGCCACTGTAGGAAACGTGGTTATCTATGGATAATTGTCCTGAAGTACGGTTGTCCTTTACTTGAAATAGCTCCCCCACTCTTGGAGCAAAATGACTGCCAGTTCAAAACTCACCTTCTCACGAAAATAATTAAAGGAAAGATAGTTGTGCAAAGTTGGGTGGGTGTATTTTTGACCAATACGTAATTAATATACAGCAAGAAGGAATAGTTATGCTATGTAAAGTAAGCAATTCTGGATATTTCTCTTGGTGTTTCATTCAAGGAATAGAATATTTGAAATCCAGCAAAGCTTTAGAAACCACAAATTCTTCGGCAAAATGTTCAAGAAAACCAATCACATTTGTGGAGTCATTGGATTGGGGAATGGGGCACCAGAATGACTGTTTTACATCACATGGACAAACCAAGCAAGTGATCGGCTCTCCCACTGTAAGACCTGATGATTTCCTGGCATGTTAGACACAGAGTTAGATGATCTGGGACTCACAGAAGCTTGGGTTACATGATCCTTCAGAGAAATAAATGTGACAATAATACATGCAGGGATTTTTTGTGCTTGTCTTAGGAAATCGAGCATGCACTATTATATACAGGTCTCAATATCCATGAAGGGGAAAGGTACCTTGCACTCATCTACTATGACAGAGTTGTGTGCGGCATAGACACATTGATTAGAGTTGCTTTCCCTGTGGTTCTTCACGTCATCATAAATGGACTGAGTCTTGGTCATTTCAATATCTTCATGCACTCGATGCTGGGAGTCAATAGTATCCAGCTCAGACTTGGAGAGGTGATAGACAATCCCAGCCCCAAAAGAGTCCCCCACAACATTGACTGAAGTTCTCATCCTGTCCCTGGGAAAAAAGAACAGAAAACATTTAGTGAAGAAGGAGTGACATGGTGGCCAAGAGGCCAAGGTCTAGAACCAGAGAAACCTGGGATTGAATTCTGGCTCTGATTTTCCCTCTCTCTGATCTGGGGCAAGTTACTTAATTTTTATAAGCCTTGATTTCCTTGTTGGTCAATTGGAGATGACAATCATACTTCATGAGCTTGTATGAAAATTAAATGAGTTCATGTACATAAAGGGTTTAGCAAAATCTCTGATGGATGGTAAAAAAAAAAAAAACAATAAACAATAGCAAAGAAAAAGGAGAGAAGGAAAGATTGGAGGAAAATAGTTCTCAAATCTCGGAATTGGCACCCAGGCTCCAACAAGTAGAAGGAAAGTAGAAGGACACTACTAGTGGTGTCCAGCAATTCTTCCTGATGTAAACCATTCTTCAAAGACTCCAGATTACCTCCTCTTATGTTACTTATTAATTCTACCTGTGAATTCTCCTGTAACAGAGAATTCATCTCTTTGTAAAGATTGTAACTAACAGGGCGCCTGGGTGGCTCAGTGGGTTAAAGCCTCTGCCTTCGGCTCAGGTCATGATCTCAGGGCCCTGGGATCGAGGCCCGCATCGGGCTCTCTGCTCGGCGGGGAGCCTGCTTTTTCCTCTCTCTCTCTCTATGCCTGCCTCTCTGCATACTTGTGATCTCTCTCTCTCTGTTTCAAATAAATAAATAAAATCTTTAAAAAAAAAAAAAAAGATTGCAACTAACACTACCTTTCCCAGAGCACCTCACTCTTCCCCAAACACATATGTACACACGGACACAGATAATGGATGAGAAACCCAGCCACAATTTTCTCCCTAACCAATATGCGCAGAGGCTGTGGGTCCAGGAAAAACCAGAATACTTTGCCATGCTCTCTCTATTAACCTAAAAAATTTAAATCTTCCAGAGTGCCTCTTGAATCAGGAAGTGTCAAGAAAACCCCTTTCTCAAATCTTTTTCCCAAGTTCTTATTTGAAAAAACTGGATGGTCCAGAACTCTCCTTTTTAGAAAGTCAACACCAGGAAAACAGAGTTGTTAGGAATAAATTGCATTCTCTGGTCCTTTAGTACAATTGTTATTAAGAGTCCTTTTAACCATGTGTATGAGATACTAGAAGTCTGAAAGAGAAGGATGCTGGAAAATCAAAACCTTTTTTTCTAAAAAAAAGAAAGAATTTAGGCAAAAACGTTGCTAAAGATGTCATAGTCCAGGACACTCTAGCCTTTAACTTAAAAAATTATAAGGATCCTAGAATTAGTTCAAGGCAAAGTGGAAGTTTTTATTAGTTCTTAGAACAAAGGCCTAAAATAAATTCTAGTTGCTACTATTAAATCTATTTCTCATTAGAGAAATGAAGCCATGCCAGGAGGAATCTGACCTGGCTTCCTTGCAAAGAGCTTGTGAGCCTGCCAGCCTCTGGTTTCAAGTGGAAAGATGTTCTGCATGCAAAAATAAAGAACAGAACTGGACTTCAGCTTTCAGGAGCATATCTCCATCTGAGAATGCTCCTCTCCTCCCTTTTGCTCTGGAGAATCTGCCTCAGGGTAATAGAGTCTGAACACAAATGAAGACTGGCACTTGAGGTCCTCCACAAAATTAAGCACTTAAAGCCAAGATTGGTAAGAAGACCCGGAGTGAAGGAATGAGAAGGTATTCATGATGATAGTTAAGAAAATATATATACGTCTGGAGATAGCCTGGATTCAAATGCCAGCTTTTCCTTCTACTTGCTGGACAACACTGATCATACTTAACATTTCACTGTGAGCCCTAGTGGCCTCACCTGTGAGATCAAAATAATAAAAATATCTGCGACACTGGTTTGTTGCAAAGATTAAATAAGATAACAAAGTGCTTAGCACAGAATTCTCTGAGACATTTAGCAAGAGCTCACAAAACATTAGTTATTACACGATGATGTGTACTCTAAATATTACTCTAAATCTTATCTCGTCAATTTAAGTCTGTTTTTGGCAGCAACTGGGTAGAATGCCCAAACACGCCGAGTTAAGCTACCATCTCCACCTGGAAGCATTAACTCTATTTGCAGGACAATCCTTATGGCGGCCTCCCAGCTAACCTGCTGAGTTACTTATCCATCACATAGCATTGGTTGCCTTTGCTGTGTTTCAACTCTACTTTCAGTCCCACCCAGCATGTGTCCTGAGCCATGCACTCAACATCCTTGACCAATTGTTAAATTCCAAAGAGCATTCAGGTGAAGAAGAATTCTCTGAGTACCCATTTATATCATGGCCCAGAAGGATCTACCTTACTGGCAAGCAGATGGACCAAAGTCAGGGGTGGTGGAGATGATGCTGATGATGGTGATGGTGGTAATGAGGACGGTAGTTGATATATCACATTTAATATGTCTAGAAATATGCTCTACAGGTATTACATTGTTTAATCTCTCTACAAATGTTGTAAGAAGTATTTTAATTTAATTTTTTCAGTGTTCCAAGATTCATTGTTTATGCACCACACCCAGTGCTCCATGCAATACATGCCCTCCTTAATACCCACCACCAGGCTCACCTAACCTACCACTCCCTCCCCTCCAAAGCCCTCAGTTTGTTTCTCAGAGTCCACAGTCACTTGTGCTTTGTCTTCCCCTCCAGTTTACTCCAATACACTTTTCCTTTCCTTCTCCTAATGTCCTCCATGTTATTCCTTATGCTCACGAGTAAGTGAAACCATATGATAATTGACTCTCTCTGCTTGACTTATTTCACTCAGCATAATCTCCTCCAGTCCCGTCCATGTTGATACAAAAGTTGGGTATTTATCCTTCCTTATGGAGGCATAATATTCCATTGTGTATATGGACCATATCCTCTTTATCCATTCATCTGTTGAGGGGCACCTTGGCTTTTTCCACAGTTTGGCAATTGTAGCCATTGCTGCTATGAACACTGGAGTACAGATGGCCCCTCTTTTCACTGCATCTGAATCTTAGGGGGAAATATTGGTAGTACAATTACAGGGTCAGAGGGTAGTTCTATTTTCAATTTCTTAAGGAATCTCCAAACTTAGTATTCATATTTATGAAATGAAAACTCAGAGGGGCTTTGCAAAGTTACACATCCTAATAAAGTCACAGAACCAAATTCAACCATAGGCAGTGTGCTTCCAGAATCCACAATGCAAAGTGCCCAGACAGCTTTGATTTTGAAACCAGCTCAGCCACTTCCTAACTGTATAACCTGGATCAGTTCCCCTACCAGAATTTTTCTCAAGCAGGCAAAATACCTATTTTATAGGATTTCAAGAAGATATAACCAGTTCCTGACCCATAGTGAATATTCATTATATGCTGGCTCTTTCCCCTTTTGGGAAGAGCCATCACCCCCATCATATGGGCAAAAACACAAGACACTATGCTCAAGGGTTAATGAATTTTCAGTTTAACAAATCCATTGCCACCCAAATGGGTGATATAAGTTTACAAATTCTCATTTCCTCAACCCTTGACTTTCTTTAACATCAGATCCCAACTCTCCAGAGCAGCCACTGAATCAACTTTTCGGAATAGAATATCTGTTCTCTCCCATACCCTCAGGCCTCCTTGAATTTGAAAATGAACTGACCAGAGGAAATAGCTATCGGGCCAGGAATGAATGAAGATGGGATCGAGTAGAAACAAAGCATGCTGATGTCTGACACTAAAATCAGGATGGGAAGGGCCCTAGACTTAGAGCTAGAACCCTAACCCAGATCTTCTGACTCTCTTACCTAGAGCAAATCACCTCTCAAGAAACATCCGGCATGCCTTAAGAACTCATTAAAGATTGATTGCCGGAGCACAAGAGCATCCAAATGGCTATGTGAAAATAAGAAGAGAACACAGACTCTAATACTTGGTGAGTTCTTTGTTAGTTCATTTTATTTATTCAACAGATGTACAATGAGCATCTTAGTGTGGGCAGGACATTATGTCCAGTGCGCTGGCAACAAAAAACAAGAAAAAGCCTTCCCATGCTCCCTCTTCCCCCTGGAACCCACACTCTCTTTACGTCTCTGTGTCCCCCATAGAGTGAGATAAATGTTCTTGTAGGAATAAGTGGTGGGTGCTATGGGATTTTGTAGGTAGGACATTTTAACTATGCTTGGGCCCCAGGAAAGACGAGTAGAAGTATCTCAACTTAGGTCCTAAGGATAAGTCTGAAATAAAGCGGCAGAAAAGAAATAAATAATGTGAAATTGAGGGGATAAGAACACCTAAGAGCGTTCAGGAGGCAAATGAGTGGGATGAGAGGCAGAAGGTAAGTACTGACCAAATCATGTATGGCCTTGTCAGCCAAGTTCAAGAGTCAGGTCATTATCCCAAGAGTGATGAGGAGCCACTGGAGAGCAAGACCATGCTTGTTCCAGTATGAAGAATGGTCTGAAGGAGAGCAAGTCTGAAAGAACAAAACCCACTTAGTGAAGATGTGATGGAAGCTTACGAGACAGAATTACAGGACTTGAGGACTGACTGGTTATAGAGAATAAATGAGAAAAGAGTCAAGGGTTCCTCTCGGGTTTCTGGTTTTGGGCAACCAGTGAACAGTGCCACCATATGTATGGGATACGAAAGGTTGGGATGAGAAATGTTCTCGATACAGCTTGAACATACCGGGTCTGAAATCTGGGAGCCAGCAAAGCAGAGAAGTCCCACAAGTGGTTGGGAATATGGACTATCAGGAGAGACACAGCAAGTTAGGAGTCGGTACCTAAAGAGGCGATGGGTGGATGCCACAGGTGTGTTTGGTTCATCCTTGGAGGGAATGGAGAGTGAGAAGAGCAGGCAGTCTTGTCTGGACCCTGAGGGTGACCAAGAGTCAAGAAACGTGCACAGGCATAAGAGCCTGCAAGGATGGAAGAAAAATGGAAGAGTTGGGGGGAAGCATGTTTCAAAAATAAGGGTGTAGTGGAGAATGTCAATTACAGCCAAGAGGTCAGGTAAGAAGAGTAAAAGTGCCCCTT